TACGATACTTACCATGGAGACTTTGAAGATACTGCGAGTTCATAGCTACTTCTAGCACAAATTCGTTACTGTATCACCTTCTCTAGGTAACAAATGACCTTCTGAAGATCACAATAGTTTCCACTGATGCAGTTGTCCGTATGAGATAACTCATAGGAAACATTCTTTTATCATCAATGCCCAATCTGACGTGACCAAACTACCGAATCTCCATAGTCGGGCCTGCAAGATAACAAAAATCCATTGAATATGTATAGGGAAATAAAACGTTAGACTCTAGTAGCGGGGAAGTGAAGCCTCATCAATGACACCTCTAGTCGGTAGTTATATTTAATCCCTCGCCCGACATCAGCATTCCGTAAGGAGATTATCAGGTAAATTAGGCAAGTCAATCCCCGTCTGTGAGGGTCAGGGAGATGAGATTCTCAAGAAATCTCACATTCGTCTGACCATACTCTCGACCCTAGATAGAACTCTATTGTATGTCAGAAGAAAAACTCCCATGTCTCCTATGAGCATACCGCAAGTCACACCTTGATGGATAATAGCGAGTATCCACACCAAAGTAAGAGGGGAACAAGGGTGTTGTTGTCCCGTTGGTCAAAAGGTATTATAGCAAAATATTGGAAAAGACAATTCTGCAACTTTAAAATATCTGCAATCATCATCAAGCTACATCCTCAACAAAGTCGGACCGTCTCATGGTGACTGTCGTTTACAAAAACCCAGAGGCATCAGAAGTGGACCATCGCCCCGTTGGGCAGACAAAGATAAGGTTGGCTACATCGAAGCTCCAACCAACTGAAGAAAATATGATAGAAGATAGGGCACCTTATCCTTACTTTTTCTTTTATTAGTTATATACTTTGTTGTTGCGTAGTTTCGATAATTGATATCGTAATTGTTTAATGTTGCAATCACAAAGAATATTGTGTGTCTCGTGCAGGATGTCGTGAATCAGTCTTTTAAGACAAGTTTCATGGTGTAGGAGCACTCTTCTCAATGTAGCTGGCACACCCTATCCCACTGTTCATATCTATCCAATCCAAGAGCGTTATGCGGTGGATCCAAGAGACGTCTACCTCGATCTGATTCATACCTCGAAGGTAGGGACGAGGATCCTCTGTGACGCGGAGCATAACATAAAGATGTCACCACATCTTTCCAAGTCCATACCCCATCGCGGGGATAACAAATACACACTAAATTAATGAATGCTAACTACAACAAACAAATACATATTGAATCAATGAACTCTAACTACAACAATTAAATACACATTGAATTAGTGGATTCTAGTTAATGCAAACAAGCACAACAACCAAAATTTCTAGCAAACAACATTTAATGCGCTAAATTATGAATTACAATATACCATTTCCAGGCAAGTTCAAAGAGCGCATTAAGCACTTCGATGTAACGAGACACCTATTTTCCTACTTAAGGCAAGCTATAAGGGTTCTCACACCCAAAACAGATAACACTTTGCAGTTATAAGGGCGCCAAATTGTGGCCCATCGATGAACATCGGCGAAGTCCATGAGGTAAACAAACTTTTACATTGTAGGGATGACAAGCAAACACTAGCGTTGCAACAACTTGTAAACAACCAGAAGTGCAACACAACAAAAATAAAATAACACCAAATACAGGATTCAAAGTCAAATAAAGCTACAACTTACTGAGGTAAAGATATATTATATATGTATTATCATTACATCCAAGACACAATGGCCTAGATAATATTACAAAAAATGGAAATAATACAAAGAAAATAGAGTAGTCGAGTTGTAGCGCCTGGAGTCGAAATGCTTATATTCTCCTCTAAAGTCCCCTCAGGACCTGCCTTGAAGGGGAATTATGGAACTTCTCCCACATACAAACAACCTCTGCATGAGTCTCGGAATCCCGTTGAAGATTTTTTAGATCCTTTTCCATGTTATGGTTCACCTTAGTAACATCATTAGAAGCCTCATAACGCTGTTTCTTCTTCGCCTCTAAAGTAATCTCCAGCTCAGAAACCAGAGTTTCCAGAATAGAAGAAGAGTTATGGATCTTCGCCTCCTCTTATAAAGAGTCACCAAGCTTGGCATTCCCATGCATCTCAGCCAAATCCTTCTGAAAAGTGAAGCACATCTACTTTATAGCTTCACACTTACCCTTACAAATGTCTCTCTCCTTGTAAGTATTACCAAAAGCTAAGACGTCTCCTCTACTAATAGTGGCCAGAGATATCAGAGAAGAAGCTCGATACATGTTATAGGTGACCTCATAAACGAGGATCATCTTCTCAGCCTCAATGAGGTTTCGGATGAAGGACAAATCCTCCGCTGATACAAGATCAACAACTTTCTCAAGAGTACGAGAAAGCTGGGAAGGAAGAACGAAAGTCATCTATAGGAAGGGAAACATCTCTCCGGAAGAAGCATCCTCAGTCAAACAGGTTTGTTTGAGAGAGCCCTCTTTCAATGGGGAATGTTGATCTACAACATTTACAAGCAGACCAGCACCAGGGGACGTAGTAGTGGTCTCGACATATGAGAGAGGAGAAATTTTGAAGCAAGAGCAATAGTCGTAGCATGAGTAATGGTCTTATGAGAGGGCATCACAACTTAGCTAATAGGACCATTCTTGATACCTTGGGAATTTGTAAGGTCATAAAACATCTTCAACTTGTCCATACTATCTGCAACATACAATCACACATGTACAAAAACAAAAAAACAAAAAAAAAACATGATACTCCATCTTCACTAAAAATAGCTTTCCGTTATTCCCGACCGACCACACTCACAATTGCATAAGTATCAATTTGTTTCTTCCTCACCTTGGAAGAATACACATCACCAGGGACAAACCCTTAGTTATAACTAAGCCCTTGAAACCAAGAATGCAGATCTTCCTTCATCGCTGCCTAGTCAAGGGAAGAAAGACATACCCTGGTGTCGTAGAAATGGATGCCCCAACGAAAATAAGGTGAGGACCATTACTTCAAATACATGTTATTATAGAAGCGATAATATTCAATAAGGGAATAGAATAAGGTAATATTAGCCTATAGTTTAAGGGGTTTTACCACCAAGAAACGCCTTAGAAAATTACCCGAGTCCCGAGTGAAATGGTCGAACAGAGGATCGTCCTGGCGGGAACTAATGACTTTGTTGCGGTAGTCATTTTGAGAAGTGTGAACCATGTAGAATAAGTTGAAAAATAGACCAAGTGAAGGCTTCCAAGACTTATGCTCGACACACAACTAGAATACCTTCATGTTAGCCCAGGATCTTAAACGAAGCTGGAGGAGGAAACCTTTAAATGATTCAAGACTGCCACTTCAAAATTAGAGAAATGCAGCCAAACTCATATCCTAATAAATAGGCATTCACAAAGTGGCACCACACAATCGTAAAAAGAGTTGCATATCCTCTTTTTCAGACCTGTAGGAAGAATCGACCATTTTAGAAGATCACAGACCGCGATGCTAGCAACATATATTGTTGCTTCAATATTCATAATAGACGGGATACCCACCACTTATGCATCCATCCAGCCGTACTTACCGCATCGGTCAGATCCACCAGTGTCACGCCTCTCCAGGCTAGGTGGTCGGCTTTAGAATGCTCTCCGAGTGTAATCCAGGAAACTACATTGGGCCTACCCTATAGCTCCAAGTGGGTCCTCACTTCAACATCACTAGGTTCACAATCATTGGTCCTCAAGTAAAGTTGGATGAAATTGTCGACACGTTCCCTCGTCCGTTTGGTAGCTTGTATTTCTTCCTCAATCAAAATGAGAGAGGCATAAAGATCTCTATATGATTTCCCTCTTTGCTATCATATGATAAAACAACTTCGAAGAGTCGAAGGAAGAAACTCATTTTTCAAGGGAGTTCCAAAATGCCTTTTCTGAATCAGAATCGCTAAATAGGGGTATAATTTCTTGGTCCATGTAATCGTGAATAAGGGGAGGAGTATGAAAATTAGGGGAGCCCTCATTCCTATAGAAGAAGAAGCATCACTCTCAGAATCACTTATTAGGTTAAGAGTACTATCACTATTTCTGACAAAAAAAAATGGAAATGCTGAAGATAAAGCTCAGGTTATGGAAGAAACTTGGTCGTGTAAGATTGATGAAGTGGAATGAATGAAGAAAGGTAGAGACTCTGATCAAGGAACTACAATCGCTCTGATTGATGCTCCCAGGAAGGATGAAGCGAATGTTATTACTAATAAAGTGAATATGAATGAACTTGAATCTTAAGGATTGTGGAAAAAAAATCAGTGTTGAACTCCCCTTATTTATAGGCAAAGATGATTGAACGATCAAGTGCCTGACAAAGCCTTGGAGACAACTGTTATGGTCCATTCAAAAGCCTAAATAGATGAGACTCAATTCACCTTAAGTTCACTCCACTTAACCCAATGTATCAAGTCGGTTCACATGAAAAGCAAGATACACTCTCTAATATCCATTTTCACTAAACTCATCTTGAATCTTAAGCTGACTTAGAAGTTGGAGTGTTAACTTTTTCGGTCCACCCTGTGTCGTCACATCAGAGATCAACATGACCTGATCAAAATTCTACATTAATCGATTACATCCATTTGTCGTTCTAGAACTGAATAATATCTTTAAAAAAATCATAACAAAATAATAAATGATTTAAACCAAAGTTTTATGAAAAAATATTTTAACTATTTTTTTTATTGAAGTTTTACAAACAAAAAATATAAACATTTCAATAAAATTATATGATACAATAAAAATCATTTATCTAAAAAGTTAGTAAAACAAACTAATTAAATTCTAATAATAACAAAAAACACGGTCTCACCGCACGACTGATAGAACTTGATGTGGTTCACTTTGTTTAAACACACCTTGCATTGGAAATGTCTAACTTGGGTTTGTTTATTTGCATCCTCTTCCAATATTCTCCACTATTACTGATTCTGAGTCTGCGATTCCACAATTTATTGACTCGATAAATTTTCCTCCTCAAAATGGCGAACGAGAGTGTGTATCTTCCACCGGAACTGATAACGAATATCCTATTGCGGTTGCCGGTGAAGACTCTACTACGCTGCAAGTCCGTCTGTAAGTTATGGCTTTCTTTTATCTCTAATCCCGATTTCGCAACTTCACATTTTCAATTTGCCGCCTCACCGCCAACCCATAAACTTTTGTTCCTGCAAGATTATTCTGATGCTCCTGAAACCCCATTCATAGATTTTGATGCTCCTGAAACCCTATCCATAAATTTTGATGCATCACTTAACGATGATTCTTTATATTCTTCGCTAAGCCTTGATTTTTTGCGTTCCCGATCTTGTGAAATTGGTGGTTCTTGTAGAGGGTTTCTGTATTTGCATTGTGACTCATACTTCTACCTATGGAATCCATCCACTGGTATTCACAAAAATATACCTGCCTCTCCTATAATAACTACTGCCTCCATTGATTATTTTTCCATGCTTCTGTATGGCTTCGGATACGACTCATCAACTGATGATTACTTGTTAGTTTATGGGTCATACAACTACAAAACTTTCTATGACCTGGCAGATACATCTATTGACTTAGCGATTTTCTCATTGAGAGCTAACGAGTGGAAGCTAATTGAGTATGGTTCTCATCTTCCTTATAGGATTATCCCTAAATGTGGAGATGGTCCTACAGCCGGGTTGCTCTTGAATGAGGTTATTCATTGGCTGGTTTATAATGACGAGACTTCAAGTTATGCTATTCTTGCCTTAGATTTAAAGGAAACCAAAATGTCAGAGATAGCTCTGCCGGATGAATTTATTTTAAGTGTTACTAACACTTCTCTTATAGATTATGATTTGTTGGTAGTTGGAGGACTTATTAGTGCATGGAATGTGGAGAAGTATACAGTTGAGATATGGGTCATGCAAGAATACAAACTGCATTCATCTTGGACTAAGACTCTTAATTTTTCTTTTCATCCCGGTCTAGATTTTCTACCATTATGCTTTACAAACTGTGGCAATATAGTTGGAACAGTTCATGGTGGTGGATTAGTGAAGTTAAATGACAAAGGACAGCTGCTAGAGCATCACTCTTATGGTAACTGCTACTTCGAAAGATCCCAAATGACAGTATACACAGAGTCTCTGCTATCACTCCCTAGTGGCACTGGGCAAGCTTTAGATGACTCTTGATGACAAACAAGAATATGACTGTGAAGTATTTGCATTTACCATTTTATTGATGATATTCATATCGTGTATTGATTAGGTGAGGTTTTGGATCCCTGGTACTAGATTAGCAGATGTTGCTTCAGCTTCTGATATGAATGTTGATTAGTGAGGTTTTGGATCCTTGCTTTCTATGTTAGATAAGTTGGAGTATTTACTTCTAAATATGATTGTACAATATTTGCCTATTATGCCATGTTTTGGTTATATCTTTAGGCAAGCACACCCTAGCTAATTTCTATCACCAGTTTTCTTTAATAAGGGTGTACTATGATGGAATGAGTATGCAGCATATATTGTTGTCACACTACTCATTGTTCGCACACACAAATACATCATGATACTATTTCTTTCTTTTCCTCCTTCTGAACTCTTGGTGTCATGAATCGGAAATCCTTCTCACTATATCAAATCGCAATGTTTGTGAATCCTTCAATTCTCAGTACTCACGAATAGTAAATCCTTCTCAACATCTCAAATTGCAACTTTGCAAATGAGAGATGAATAGTTGGTGTGTTGTAAATCCTTCTCAGCAGCTCAAGTACCAGTTCAACTATAGCATATCTCTGCTGTTTCTTTCTTGCTGCTCCTTAGTGATGATGAAATTCATTTACACATTCCCAATAGGTTATTTAATGTCTTTAACTCTATGTTTTTTTTAATGGAGCTTGAACGGTTGATTTTAATTTATTTTGAATGATTATTTTTGGTTTGACTTTGCTTGAATAAACAGTGTTTTGTGTATGTTTGTTTTGTTTATTTTGTGCCACAATGGCGCTTTAATTTTATGCAAGTTGCTCTTATTTTCTTCATTTGCTGCTTAAGTGCATTCCCATAAAACCTGTTTTATGGGGGCCTATAGAGAAGATCCTTGAATCATGAAGTATTAGAATCAATGATTAACATCTTGGATTAGTATGATTCAGTTGGGAGGCACTCTATGTGTGATTGTGGTCAAATTGGATTTAATATAGATATCATCTCAGTATTAATTTTGTCGTGGTTGTGAGATATACCTAGTTGCCTCTCAAATGTTATATGACTGCCATGTTTGGTTTATTGGTTTTGATTCGTGGTTACTATTTTTTGTTCTCAAATTTCTCTTCTATTGTCTATATTTGGTTTTACCTTAGGGGCAATTAGATTTGATTCAAAAGTAATTAGTATTTTGACATTGATTTTAATATAAAATTGCAATAGTTTATATAATATTTAATTAATAACTTGTTTAAATAAATTTTAATATAATATATTCATTAACTAAAAAGAAATTAAATATATTTATGATTAAAAAAAATGTATACCATACATATTTGATCAAAATAATTATGACAGAATCCTTTTAAAAAAATTTCACATTAGCCTTGATAATAATAATAATAATGATAATAATGATAATTATTTATACTTGAAATAATAATATTCTTGTTCATTTACACATTGTGTTTTTGTAGTTTTATTATTTACATAAAAAAATCTAGAGTTAATATTTGTATCGGTGTATTTATTTATAAAATAGTGATAATATTGGATTTATGGTATTGAAGAGTCAAATATATAAGTGATCTTTCTCAAGCTTTTTTACTTAACTAATTATTATGTTAAATTTAATTTATAGGTTATGATTTTAAATAAGCTAACAAAAATTATTATTTTAGTAAGGTGATCATTTTTACTTATACTATTTAATTAAATCTAATTTAAAGACTATGATCATGGAGTAAGTTATAAAATCTTATATATATATATATATATATATATATATATATATATATATATATATATATATATATATATATATATATATATATATATATATATATATATATATATATATATATATATATATATATATATATATATATATATATATATATATATATATATATATATATATATATATATATATATATATATATATATATTGATTTGTAAATATTATAGAAAAGTTATCTCTTATGATAAAATAAATATTTAAAGTTATTATAAAATGTTATCTTTTATAAAATAAATTGATTGTTAAACGTAACAGCATGTGTTAGAAAATCCTTAAAAACAGTTATTTTATTAGTTCTTACTAAATAACTAATAAAATAAAATAAAATATAAGACATTATTATAGAAAAAATTATCTTTTATAATAAAATAAATACAAAAAATTATTATAAATAAATTATTTTTTATTAAATAAGTTAATTACTACGCGTGCACTATATCTATTACCACCCGTAACAAAAAAAACAATGTTAAAATTAAAACTAGCATGACTTTTCAGATATGCATATTCGAATCACATCTAACTTTGTCCGAAGATGCATATTTGAATTTAACATTCATTTTTTTAGCTCATACACTAGATTAATGCAAGAAATGAGAGATGAATGATCTTTTACCTACATTTTCAGTTTGTTTTACTCCCTTTGAAGTGATGAAATACAACAATAATGTTTTGGTGTTGAAAAGTTAGTTGAGAATGAAAGAATGTTTTGTGTAAGGGTTTTGCAATGGAGTTTCTCTTTTAGCATGAAGACGAAGATCACGCAAGGGGATGTTTTAATCAAATTTTCCGCTTGGAATATCACCGAGTTGTTATTTATATCAGTTGAGTGAATAATAAAATCTCATAAATGAGTGCATGAGCTATTTTGAAGATGCATCCCCGTATACACTCAAACACTATAAAGAGATGCATCTTTAAGTTATATATTTTTAAAAATTGGGTGACACTTAGAAAAGAGAAAATTGACGTGATTTTTAATGTGTTTAAAAATGCATCTTTGAACACATGAAGAATATTTTTTGAGTTTTCAAAGATGTGGAAGACACCGCCGAGAATAAAAAGAGAATTCCTCTATAATTTTGATATACTCATGTTTTAGGTTGTCCAAACAGTCATTAAAACCGACCGTGATAGAAATGAGTTTCAAATGTATTCATTCAATCTTCTATTTACACACTATTTAATCTAAAATAGGTTAATGATTTATATCCATATAAAAATTAAGAAATAAAATTTAAAATAATTCCAACCAATCAATTATAACATCATTTCATATCTCTTAGGTTATGCGGCTATGTTTGAATATTATAAAATGAATATAGTGGAAGAGAATGAAGAGCGGAATGAAATAAGGATATCATTTTATTATTTAAGTATTTCAGGACAAAATATAGAGATTTTGTCGTTCCACTGCAATTGAAAGATTCAAAAACTAATCAAAAGTGATTGATTCGGCTCCATTCTATTCTCTTCAATAATCTAAGCAATAAATTTAAATTTATTCCATTTCATCTCTTTCCAATTTAATTAGAGAACGAGAGTGGAAACTTATCTGAATTTGTGTTAACTTTTACCGATTTGCAAGTGAGTGTTTTTGTTTACAAAGTTATAAGAAACCCTAACTATTAACTAGGGTTTGTTTATTTGCATCTTCTTCCGATATTTCCCCATTATTACAGATTCTGAGTCTGCGATTCCACAATTTGTTGACTCGATACATTTTCCTCTTCAAGATGGCGAACAAGAGTGTGCATCTTCCACCGGAACTAATAACGGAAATCCTATTGAGGTTGCCGGTGAAGACTCTACTACGCTGCAAGTGCGTCTGTAAGTCATGGCTTTCTCTTATCTCTAATCCCGACTTTGCAACTTCACATTTTCAATTTGCCGTCTCACCGCCTACCCATAAACTTGTGTTCCTGGAAAATTATTTTGATGCTCCTGAAACCATATCCATAGATTTTGACGCATCACTTTACGATGATTCCTCATATTCTTCGCTAAGCCTTGAGTTTTTGCGTTTCCGATCTTGTTGTGAAATTGTTGGTTCTTGTAGAGGGTTTTTGTTTTTGCATTGTGACTCATACTTCTACCTATGGAATCCATCCACTGGTGTTCATAAAAACATACCTGCCTCTCCTATAACTATTGCCTCCGTTGATTATTTTCCCTTGCCTCTGTATGGTTTCGGTTACAGTCCATCAACAGATGATTCCTTAGTAGTTTTTGGGTCCTACCAATGCCGTGGTTCCTATAGTTCCGCAGATAGTTCTATTGACTTGGCGATTTTCTCATTGAGAGCTAACGAGTGGAAGCAAGTTGAGTCTGGTTCCCAATTTCCTTATAGGATTATTCCTAAAGGTGGAGGAGCTGGTCCTAGAACCGGGTTGCTCTTGAATGAGGTTATTCATTGGCTGGTTTATAATTACGAGGCTTCAAGTTATGCTATTATTGCCTTTGATTTAAAGGAAATCAAAATGTCAGAGATAGCTCTGCCGGATGAATTTATTTTAAGTGTTAGTAACACTTCTCTTATAGATTATGATTTGTTGGTAGTTGGAGGACTTATTAGTGCGTGGAATGTGAAGAAGTATAAAATTGAGATATGGGTCATGCAGGAATACAAAGTGCATTCATCTTGGATCAAGACTCTTAATTTTTCTTTTTATCCCGCTCCGGATTTTTCGCCATTATGCTTTACAAACTTTGGCGATATAGTTGGAACAGTTCGTGGCGGTGGATTAGTGAAGTTAAATGACAAAGGACAGCTGCTAGAGCATCACTCTTATGGTAATTGTTACTTCGAAAGATCCCAAATGACGGTATATACAGAGTCTTTGCTCTCACTCCCTAGTGGCACTGGGCAAGCTTTAGACGACTCTTGAAAAGAAACAAGAATATGATTGTGAAGTATTTGCATTTACCATTTTATTGATGATATTCATATCATGTGTTATGAACTTTTGATGTCATGAATCATGAGAATTGATAGGCAGAATAGTGAAACTGCATGAAGACAAAACAAGATTGAGAATAGAGTTAGTACATGAACTTCATCATCTTTATCTGATTCCATCATTATGTTTTTCTCTTTTTTGCAATATTTAACATGTTATTGCTGTGTTAGTATTAGCAATTTCCTTACTTCCATTGTTTCCCCTAATAATGTGTTACCTTCCATTCTCTTAAAGATATTATGTTTGATATCTTGATACAGAATTTGTCGATGATATGAAATCAATTTTAAGCAGAGAAGATCAGTTAGCAATTGACACTAGTTATGCAAACTAGATGTATTGTTGATTAGTGGCGTGTAAAAAATATGGTAACCCACAAACCAATTACCATACTGACCCACACTTTAAAGCTCTGCCTAATGTATGAACAAATTAAACCAACCCATCTAAGTGAAAAACAGTGAACCGGTATTAATTTAGACTTGTCAAACATTATACATGGTTTTGTTTAGTCCTCTAAAATTTGGGCTAGGATTTCTAATTAAGGACTTACTTTTTTTGGTCAGTAGAGAAGAGAGGGTTAGGTGGTTACATGAATCATGGATATTGGAATGAAGGAAGGAGTGGTGGTGATTTTACGGAAAATGTTGTTTATGTGTGTTAGGGGTGATTTTGTTGGAACTTTAAAGTGGAAGAGATGTGAAGGAGGATTGTTAATGCAATTTAGTGAGGTTTGGATCCTTGCTTTCTATTTTAGATAAGTTGGAGTATTTACTTCTAGATGTTAATGTACAGTATTTGCCTATTATGCTCTGTTTTGATTATGTTTTTAGGCAAGCTAATTTCCATCACCAGTTTTCTAATAAGGGTGTGTACTATATCAGGATTGAGAGGAGACTTAGTAGATGAACTTCATCTTCTTTATCTTATTTAATCATTATGTTCTCTCTTTTTGCAGAATTAATCTTAGCAATTTGTTTACCTCCATTGTTCCCTCATAATAATGAGTTTCCTTCCATTCTTTAAATGGTATTTTGCTTGAAGACTTGATACAGAATTTTAGCAAATTGACACTAGTTATGCGAACGGGGATGCATTGTTGATTAGGGGTCCTTCTAAATGAAAAACAAAAAACCGGTGTCCATATATGTTGGGAATCAGTTTCTAATCAATTGTCATACTACTCATTGTTTGCACATACATACACAATGATACTACTTTTTTCCCTCCTGAACTATTGGTATCACGAATCGTAAATCCGGCTCAATATATCAAATCGCAAGGTTTGCGAATCCTTCAATTCTCAATACTCATGAATCGTAAATCCTTCTCAACATCTCAAATTGCAACTTTGCAAATGAGAGATGGATAGTTGGCGTGTTGCAAATCATTCTGAGCAGCTCGTTTTATTTTCAGTGTTAGTAACACCTCTTTTATAGGATATGATTTGTTGGTACTTGGAGGACTTAATAGTACATGGAATGTGGATAAGTATACAATTGAGATATGGGTCATGCAAGAATATAAAGCGCATTCATTTTGGACTAAGACTCTTAATTTTTCTTTTTATCCTGCTCCGGATTTTTCGCCACTGTGCTTTACAAACTGGCGATATAGTTGGAACTGTTCATGACGATATAGTTGGATTTGCTTGTGGTTTTCGATTAGTGAAGGTAAATGACAAAGGACAGCTACTACAGCATCACTCTTATGGTAACTGTAACTTCCGAACATCCCGAATGACGGTATATACAAAGTCTTTGCTTTCACTCCCTAGTGGCACTGGGCAAGTTTTAGATGACTCTTGATAACAAACAAGAATATGATTATGAAGTATTTGCATTTACCATTATATTGTATTCATATCTAGTATTACGAACTCTTGAAATCATGAAGCATGAGCATTGATAGGCAGAATAGTGAAACTTCGTCATCTTTATCTTATTCCATCATTATGTCTTCTCTTTTTGCAATATTTTGTATGTTATTGTTCTGTTAATATTAGCAATTTGTATAAAAATGTGTTACCTTCCATTCTTTTAAAGGTATTTTGTTTGAGACTTGATACACAATTTGTTGATGATATGAAATCAATTTTAAGCATGAAACTTGATGCATTGTTGATCATGTGTAGTAAAATTGATTTTTCTATAGAATTGATTTTAACTTAAAGCAACATAAGAGCTATAGATTAAGAGGTATGTTTGGTTTGACATATTTAATTGCCATCGAATAAAATTGAATACGATTTTGAGAAATAATTTTACTTGAAGGTAAGATTTATAGCTCATGAATTTTACGATGGAATTTTCTGTTTAATTCATTTTTGCAAAACTCTGATAAGGATAAATATTGTGTTAGATGTATTTTTTATTTGAATAATGGAAAAATAGTGTTGATAGGTATCGAATATAAAAAATAACATGTGAATAAAGAGCTTGGCTTAAAGTGCAATCAAGGTTGTTTCAAGCATGTCAAGTCCAGCTTGATTTGCAAACTTGAAAACAATGCCTAAACTGATATAATAGGAGGGTATATCATTTTCTTAAACTTTGTCTTTTATAATTCATAAATAATTTCGTAGTTCTTTATTATTAATAATCCTATATCATATGCATAAGCATACCTCCGTTCCACCTGGCCTGCTCAAAATGTGTAATATAATTTAATAAGTAAAATGATAATTCAACCGTTCCTCCAATAACATAATAACATCGAAAAAATGTCTACAGTTTAAAAATACAATAACCACACAAGTCTATCTTTGAGGATCTCGATAACATGTATCAATTATCTTACACCCTTTTATAAGCAACTATTTTTTTGGTTGATTGAATAATTGATTTATGTGATATATAATAATGATCAAATGTATTATTTATTAAATAAATTTTAATTTATTGTTTATATGAGTGGCCGGAAGGTGTAAGTTTAAATAGTAATACATTGTAAATTATTTACTCGCCCAATATATATTTATGTATTTGTTGATCTTAAAAATAGTAACATAGTTAAATCATTCCTTTAAATTAGTGATTTTTTTTATATTTTTGTTTATGTATTTTTATTAGAATAATTTTAAATGTTAAAATTTATTTGATATTTGTCTCTAATGTTAAAATTCACATGTAAAAAAGAAATTTTCTAACAATTTTAACTTTTGGAACCAATATTAAAAAGATTTTAACATTAAAAAAAATAGAAAAATGAAAATAAAAAACTCGCTAAACACACACCACTTAACTTGATACATAACAGATCCTAGTGAAGTGCAACAGCAAACAAAATTCAGCACAATACAAAAGGCCAATAATCCCTAAAACACATTGTCACCGGCCACAAAACAGCAACAAAAACCATACTAAATACACATGATAAAAAACATCCAAACACCAGCCAATATACGAACAAATTGGTCCAGACCGCACCGATGATGACACTGGAAACACACCGCAAGAGCAAAATAAAAAAGCATGTTTGACGACAAAAGAGGTCTGATTCATCGGACTGCTACAAAAATAGAAAAGAAACAATAGTAGCGATAAAGTTGTCACGGTTCACAATCATACATACTAAGGCATGCCCGAGGATTCAATCACCATTGAGAAATGATATAACACAAACTTTTGCCTTTGATTCTCAATCATTTCCAAGATATTACTTTCACTTCTTCGATCATTTTATCCAAACAGACTTCGATGTTGTTAAAAAGTCTCTGTTTAAAAAGCCACTTGTGGAACCCAACTTGTGTCCCAAACTGCACCATGATTTCTACTCAAATAATTTCACTATGAAGATCCAACCTAATAGTAATTAATAAGCCTAAAACATGGATCAAATTAGACATTGAGATAAAAAGCAGCATTCCTATATATTTGTTTCCAATTAATTTTATTGTGGCAAATAGTTTCACAACAAACCATCAAAATCTGAAAACCGAACCCAAAACAACATGAAAATCGAAATGAATGGAAAACAGATGAATAACACGGTGAAAAGATAAAAAAAGAGAAGATAAGATAATCTTTAGTGTTACTTTACTTAGAGTTAAAAACTCAAAAGAAAGTTGACATTGGAGACGAAATAAGCTTTAATCAGTTTCTTCTGCTAGTGATTTCGCATTTGAAATTGTTATCAATTTCCATTCCTTCGAGCTTGGGCTAACAAAATATAGTGAATCATTAGTTTGTATTAGAAACAGTAAAGACATAAAATATTGTGGTAGACATATAAATGTTGTACAATTAATTTAAAAACTTAAAAGAAATATACAATATGAATTATTTACCACATCCTTCAACAGAAATAACAATAACTTGTTTATCAATAAAAACACAAAAAAAAAACCTTTTAATAGATGATAAGAAATTAGTAAATCTATTTACATGCATTCGAAAAGTGCATCTTATATTGCATATATCAGACGCAATTGAATCCATGAAAAACAATAGCATGTGAAACTCTTCTTTAGCATGTATTATTAGTGTCCTGTAACCTTTATGTCTCTAATCTGGTTTGTAGATCTCCCATTTTCAAATCTTCAAAATCAATTTGTATGTAGGAGGAGAGAAATCGTCTAAATGGAAATTGAGAAAGAGAGACAAGCAAAAAAAGATGAATGAAAAAAAAAAGATTTTTATGATGAATGACCAAGAGATTTGAAAGGAAAAAATTAGTAAAAAATTTATAAAATCATTTAAAAAGTTAAAAGGGCCTTGAAAGAAAGAAATGAGTAAAAAATCTCATGAAAATTCAAAACATGTCCACTAAACAAGTGAAATGAACGTACTCTAGAAAAAAGTTTCTTTATAAAAAAAGATTGAAAATCAAAATGAAAATGTTGGCGAAAATGAGAACTACATACTCCAAAAAAGGGTTTCTTAATCAATAAGAATATAAATCCTAGCAAAACACAGAAGTTCTTGATC